GTGTTTTAGCGAGTCAAGTTTTTGGCGCCGTTGCCGGGGAACCAATGAAAGGGACTGCAGTATAGTGGCTCAAGTAATAAATATCGAATCCACGGGTCTCTAAAGTTACTATTACTCAGCTTCGGTTCATTATCTAGCAAACCAGATTAAGATAGAAGAACTAAAACTACTCTAGCAAACTACAGTTAAGGTTAATTTAATTACAGGTTGGGAACTCACTTAGGTATGATTCCCCCTAGCCACTAGCCAGATTAATGATTGATGATTTCTAACTTGTTTCACTTTCATTCACAATGCGGAGAATCCTTGACTAGACCTTGAGTCTCGACTAAAGGAACAAGGCCCTCTTGAGTCAATTGCCTAGAGGGACTTGTTCCTTTAGTCGAGACTCAAGGTCTAGTCAAGGATTCTCCGCATTGTGAATGAAAGTGAAACATGTTAGAGATCATCAATCGTTAATCTGGCTAGTGGCTAGGGGGAATCATACCTAAGTGAGTTCCCAACCTGTAATTAGATTAACTTTAACTGTAGTTTGCTAGAGTAGTTTTAGTTCTTTCATCTTAATCTGGTTTGCTAGATAATGAACTGAAGCTGAGTAATAGTAACTCTAGAGACCCGTGGATTCGATATTTATTACTTGAGCCACTATACTGCAGTCCCTTTCATTGGTTACACTTGGCCACTGTTAGGAGTTGTGTTTTAGCGAGTCAACTGGAATTCATTCCAGTAGTGGAGTTCTGTGTTTATAGCCTCAGTTTTCTATCCTGGTGAAGACTAGTCGTCTGCCGGGTAGTTGGACTGAGAGGGCTTGGTCAGCTTAAGAGATTCCAAGCTGATTTAGGATCTTCCGCAGTTTAATCAACAGTAGATCAACCAAAGGTAATTGCAACTTGGACCTAATTGAGGAGCTAGGGGGAATCATACCTAAGTGAGTTCCCAATTTGTAATAGTAGAGTAGTCAGTAGAGTAGTTTATAAATCAATCCTTAATCTAGTTTGCTAGATAATGAACTGAAGCTGAGTAATAGTAACTCTAGAGACCCGTGGATTCGATATTTATTACTTGTGCCACTATAATGCAGTCCCTTTCATTGGTTACAAAGGGGTCGATGAACCAATGTCAGTTCACCCAAATCCTCAACCAAGTGAAGCGAAGGAGGGGCCAATACCTGTTGTGGCAGTGCAGGAGACAACAATGGCCCCGGCGGCGGCCGCGACTAGTGGAACCCAGAGTTGCTTCTGCAACTTGTCAGGGAAGTCTGAATCCCCTTTATTTTATCCATGTTTAAGATTTTTAGTTGGAATTGCCGGGGGGCTAAACACCCAAAATTTCTCTCGACCGTTAAGGAATATATGTTAGCCCATAAACCGAATCTCGTCTTCATCGTGGAGCCACGAATCAGTGGCAAGGATGCGGAAGATGTAATTAAGTTTATGGGTTTTGATAAGCACATCCTTGTTGATGATATTGGTTTCTATGGCGGTATCTAGGTGTTGTGGAGGGATGTGGATTTCTCAATCACTGAGCTTGATCGCGAATTCACAATTTCTCCATTTCTTGTGCACAGGTCGCAATAATTGTTCAGTCATCTTGATAGCTATTTACGCCAAGCCGAATGAACAAGATAGGCGACCGTTGTGGAATGTTGTACGTCGCCTAGAGCAGAACACTATGAGACCTTGGCTGCTTGCAGGAGATTTCAACTCGATTACTTGTCCGTCTGAACGAGCAGGAGGAGCAAGGTATAATCCTTCTCGTACAGCCAGCTTCAATTCGTGCATTAGGGAGTGCGGCCTGCTCGATGTTGGCTTTAAGGGTCCTAAATTCACTTGGAGCAATGGAACACTCTTCCAACGGCTAGACAGAGCCTTGTGTAACCAGGAGTGGATCAGGAAATTTCCTAACACTTTAACTACTCATTTGCCTAAACTCAGCTTGGATCATAGACCTATTCTCATCTGCAGTCATAACGACCATATTCCCCCAAGGCAGGTAAGGCCTTTTCGTTTCCTGGTGCCCTGGCTAGCCCATAAAGACTTTTCTTCTACCCTTGAAGCCTCGTGGATCCGAGGAAGGGATTGTTTGCTGTCTTTGTAGGATCTGCAGGCTCATCTTAAGCGCTAGAACAAGGAGGTTTTCGGCAATATATTCTAGAGGAAAACGAAACTTTCCAAACAACTTACTCGGTTGGAGATCCAGAATGAGTCGGCGGCAACTAAAGCATATCTAAGACGTGAAGGACAGATCCGAGAAGAGCTGGAACAGACGTTGTGGCATGAGGAACTCCTGTGGCTACAAAAAGGCTAGGGCGAATCAGATTGTAAACGGAGACAGAAATACTCGGTATTTCCACACGGCTGCCCTGACACGACGTCGCAAGAACGGAATAACGAAGCTTCAAGCAGAGGATGGGACTTAGATTGAGGATCCAGAGATGTTGAAGTTGATGGCAAGGGAGTTCTATGTTCGTCTGTACTTGGATGATTGCACAGGGCAGCAACAGATTCCGGCATGCTTCAATGCTCTTACCGAAGCAATGACATCCCATTAGCGGACAACCCAACTCTGGAGGAAACCTACAAGATAATCAAAGAAATGGGAGGGTTGAAGGCGCCTGGGAAGGATGGTTTTCACGCCACTTTCTATCACAAGTGCTGGAATGAAGTGGGAGCAGACTTCCATGAACACATCTTGTCCTGTTTCAGGAGCCCTGATCGGATTAAGCTGTGTAATGATACCTTGTTGGTGCTGCTGCCCAAAGTGGAGTCTCTGAAGCAAATTGTTCAGTTCAGACCAATTGGATTATGCAATGTTAGCTACAAGGCCATGGCTAAGTGCCTAGCAAATCGGTTAAAGAAATTCATGCCGCAGCTAGTCGACCCGAACCAGTCGAGCTTTGTTCCTAAAAGACATATCACAGATAATATTATCATTTTGCAGGAGGTAGTACACACTATGGCTCGCAAGACAGGGGCGAAAGGACAAATGATTTTGAAAATCGATTTGGCTAAAGCTTATGACAGGATCAATTGGAAGTTCCTAGAATTGACGCTTTGGGCGGCAGGTCTTCCGAACGATTTTGTCCGTCTTGTCATGGCTTGTGTGACTACCACGAGTTTCCAGGTTCTTTGGAATGGCGGTTGTACATATTCCTTTCAACCGACAAGGGGTCTTCGGCAGGGATGTCCTCTTTCGCCTTATCTCTTTACTTTATGTATTGAAAAGCTTAATCACTGCATCAAGGACTCAATAGATAGGAAGGCTTGGAAGCCGATTACTTTATCGAAGGATGGGCCTTCACATACCCATTTTTTTTTTTTTTTTGCAGATGATCTAGTTTTGTTTGCTGAAGCGGATCTGAAGCAGGGCGAGGAAGTCTTGGCTTGCCTGAACCGGTTCTGCGATGCTTCGGGGGAGCAAGTCAGCAAAGAAAAATCGTGTGTCTTCTTCTCCAAGAATACCAGGGAACAAACGAAAAGAAGAATTAGTGACATGCTGGGGATTAAACAAACGGGTAACTTGGGCCGCTACTTGGGGGTTACGGTTATCCATGACAGAGTCACTAAGGATACTTATAAGTATGTTTTGGAGAAGATTGATCAGCGCCTCTCTGGATGGAAGGCGAGGAGCTTATCTTTAGCTGGCCGGGTGAACTTGGCAGTGTCAGTGTTGAATGTCCTTTCGAATTATGTCATGAAAACGGCGGTCCTTCCCATTTCGGTTTGCGAGATCATTGACAAGAAAGTTAGAGCCTTTGTCTGGGGTAATGAAGACGGTAATTCCAAGACTCATTTGGTTAAATGGGAAACCATTTGTAAACCAAAAGAAGAAGGCGGTCTTGGGTTAAGATCAGCAAGGGCGCTTAACCTTTCGTACTTGATGAAATTGGGATGTGCTTTCCTAAACCAATCAGATGAGCTATGGATCCGCATTCTGCAAGGGAAATATTTTACAACTAATGCTGCAGGTGCTATGATCATGAAGAAAAGCAATTTCTCAAGGCTTTGGAGAGGGATTGTTGATACTTGGCCTATTCTGAAGCAACGTATTGTCTGGGACATTCGTGGAGGTTGCAATGTCCTTTTTGGACTGACTCTTGGCTGGCCGAAGGGATTGTCCTGAGGGATCTGATTATTAGTGATGGAGCGGGGATCAATTGGCACGCCACGGTGGCCGATATGGCTACTTCCGAAGGTGAGTGGAAGTGGCATGAGATTGTGCAACATCTAATTCCAAACTTGGTTGCTTTGATTGCAGGTACGGACCCGCCGAAGGAGGGATTGGGGGAAGACATCACAACCTGGGGAATGGAGCAGGACTGGAAGTTTAAACTCCGTTCTGCATACTTGGCGGCCGTGGAGTGGTTGAGTGACGACGAGCCTGCGTTGGAGGAGACGGCCGCCCAACCTTATTGGAAGCAACTTTAGAAATGGGCCGGTCCGAACAGGATTAAACATTTCTTGTGGTTGGTTTTCCATGACAGGCTAATGACGAACGCGGAGCGGAAGAGGAGGAAACTCACCACGATTGACACCTGCCCGACCTGCAGATCTGAGACAGAAACAGCGGAACACATTTTGCGCCACTGTCCGATCTCCCAACAGGTATGGCGTAATCTGGGAATTCAAGATGATTTGCTTACGTGCGGCCTTGGCTTTGCAGCATGGCTGGACAAGCACCTCAGGAAGGATCAGGAGGGCCTTTTGTTCGGATTAGCAGCTTAGTACCTCTGGAAAAGACGGAACGAGAAGGTGTTCCATAATTTGAATCAGGAAGATCATGTTCTGGCGCACCGGATTCGTTGCTGGACGACGACCATCAGATAAGCTCAAACAGATGACAAGGCGATCATAGAAGCAGCGACGGAGAAGACAGCTCATCAGTGTGCTTGGATCCCACCGCCTCAGGATTGGGTGTGTGTGAATACGGACGGCTCAGTGAAGCAGCCAGGATCGACGGCTGCTGGCGGCAGATTAATTCGTGATTGGTCTGGGAAATGCATGGGAGCGTTTGTTGAGAATCTTGGAGTGTGCACGATTACTCGAGCTGAAATTATTGCGGCCATCCGAGGTCTCCAGCTTGTGTGGAGGAATGGGTATAGGAAGGTCCTCCTCCAAATGGATTCCACTACAGCTATTAATATCCTCACCTCCAGTGAACATATGGAGCAAAGGTACTTTATCCTGGTTCAGCAATTCCAGGAGCTACTCAATAAGAGCTGGGAAGTGAAGATTTCTCACATCTATAGAGAAGGGAACAAAGTAACGGATTTTCTGGCCAACAAGGTCCATTCTAGTAGCATTGGTTATCATGATTTTGAGGTCTCTGACTCTGGTTTATCCTTTTGGATCTTGTATGACATTCTGGGTATTTCCCAAACCCGCTTAATCTAAGTTTCAGGCAGGGACGCCCTTTTAGCGTCCCACTTTCCTACAAAAAAAGTATATATATATAACGCTACTGCAAGGTCATGACACAAAACTTTTTATAGTATGGTGGAATGCTTGCTTAATTGAAACCTTAAGGCCGCAAGTTTGAGACGTAGAACCCTTAACGTTCTGTCCAGTCTTTCATTAGCAGACTTTGATGTGGCAATTTCATCGCTGAGTTGATGAATATTGGTTACATGTCATAAGAATGTGCCATATGGATATTTATTAATTTATTCTATTTATTATAGTGAAAAATGATTAGAAAACAAAAATAAACCCGATCAATTCTTGGGTCAACCCCTAAGATCTTCTTCGTTTTTATTTCACTTTTTCATTGTCGTCGATTCATATTTCAACTTCTTATTCTTCTCTGCTACTTTGCTCACAACATCGAGATTTGCGCCTTCAGTGTAATGTCCCTTGGCCTATTTGTTTTTTTTTTATAATGGCGATAAATATTATTATCGAAAAGAAAAGGAACTTTACAACAATGGAGATCACTAGAAATGATCACACAACTCAAACTTAGAACAGAAAATGAAAACAAAATGTAGGACGATGTTAAGCAGACCTGGCCGCTCCGACATGTCAAGAAGCCAAAGAGCTAACTTTGTGAAAAAGCCTCAAAACTCCACCCCCAATTTTGAAACCTCTTACAACCTCTTCCCCACCCAGATAGCTCCACTCCAATACCATAAAACACACCCCCAAAGAGTACTGCTGCAATTACACGGAAGACACATCCGTCACGACAAGCTAGCAGTTTCCTCTCTTGCCGCTAGGACACAAGCCCAAGCATCACCTGAAATACAGCAACGAGATCTAAAACTCCCCGAAACCGGGTTCCCGCAAAGAAGCAACAACAAAAACAATAGAGAACACCAAACACAAAAGCCTGGATCAGCACACACACAACCAAGCAATCACAAGAGAGAGTTACAATGTCGTCTTCCACATTATCGATCATTTCGTACCATGATTTCCCACATCCAACTCTCTCCTTGAACTTTTTCAATTTTTCCATGTGCAACTAACCATTCCAAACCATTCATAACAGCTCTTCCAGCAATCACATTGGCTGGCGTAGCTTTCTCTTCAAATGTTCTATGGTTCCTCTCCAACCAAACCAGCCAACAAACTGCGTGTAAGATGCAATCTCTGAACCATTCTTCAATTCTGGTCGGCTTAGAATGTGGCCACAATTTAATAATCGAGACAATATCATCACCTTGAGTGGAAAGGCCAGGTTTGTTCCGGTTAATAAATGTCCACATATGTTTCACAAAGTCACACTCCACAAGAAAATGAAACACCGTCTCTTCCTTGCCGTAACAAAGGAAGCACCTGTTCGCCATGCTCCAGCCTCTTCTCATCAGATTTTCCAACGTGAGAATCATGTTGTGAAACACTACCCACATGAAGAAACACACTTTGCCCGGTATCACCGTCTTCCATATTTGTTTAACCGGGAAATCCTGAACACCAGGGAAAGCATCCTTCACAAGATTCCTGTATAATGAGCTCACAGAGAACTTGGCAGTTAGGTCAGGATTCCACAAAATTCTACTAGGAATAAAAGCATTATTGGACCACTCGACAGATTTAAGAAAATTCAACAAATCTATTCTCTCTCTTTCTCTCTCAGAACCCCTTGGCCTAATTGTTGTCGAACTATGCTATAACTATGAGAAACAGGTTGATTGGTATCTCAAATAGTAAATAATGAATAAAATTAATCTCAATCCAAAGTATTTTGATACGGTATTAGTACATAACAAATACTAAATTAAATCACGTCATATGTAATTATCAAATATAAAAATAATAATAAGGTGGTTTCGGTTGAACATAAAATATTAGAAGCTTTATGATTGTGTATATAAATAGTGGAGTATTATGTATAATGGACTAAACTTATACTTTAATGTTATTAAATCACTAATAATTATCTAACTCTCAATTAGTTTCACTTGAATCATTTACCAATACAACTTGGGTTAATACCATAAATTGACTCAAACTATGCAAAAATAGATTGCTTTGGACTGTGATTTTTGAAATTTCTATGTTGACCTAAACTATGTGAAACAACCCGACTCTTTTGAAAACCCAAACCGTAATTCAAACCATAAACCGGTTACTCTGGAGCAACCTAAATCACATTTTTTAAATCAATCTGAAACCAACAACAACATTCAGAAATCCCAAATGAAAGCCCTAAACACTTGGGCAAATCCCAATTCAAAATACTGTAAACTTAAACCTTGAGTTTCCCAGTATACTCATAAGACACGAAAATAAATACAATCATGATGAAGGGTTCTCTTCTCGTTACCCTGAGCCCTTTGACATCTTCAACCTTGACGCGACGGTCCTCCTTGATTAACCTCCTCGTGTTGGTTACGTCCTCTTCTCCTTTCCACACTTGGTGAGTGAGAATGTGTTAGTCTCGTCGTTACTTCCTAAGTTCTTTGCACTAAGCAAAACCTTACTAACACACGTTATTAGCGATTCCTTTCCTTAGATGAAAGTCGTTCTCGCTTTCATCCTCAATAACTTATCCCATTATTAACTTATAGAAGTTCTCTACTTCTATCCTTATCTCAAACACATAACATTAGGGACCACCGCGTTACGTCTCGCCGTCCGGTGTCCCTAACTTGGTATGCCAACCGCGTTATGTTTCACCGTCCGGTTGCATACTCAACTCGGAAATGGTCTGCATTACGTGTCGCCATCCAGTACCTTACCCAATAAACTGTTGCGTTACCTATCGCTGTCCAACAGTGATCCGACCATCTACTGCGTCCAGTAGTGGCCCAACCGCCCGGGGGTTCATCTTACCAACATCCATACATCACAACATATTCATATACATAGCACAACGCGTGCCTCCATCTTAAGTAGGCGGTGGGGTGCCTCACACACAAAATCGCGAATTACCCGACATTAATGAAATTACTATAAGTAAATGCATAAACTAAAAGAAATCGACAAAGATTTTACCTCATTTATACTCACCTCGAAAAGTCGACTCTTCGCCCCTTTGCCTGAAAAACTTCTTCCTCAACGTACTATCTTGATATTCTATAAAATATATCACCCTTTTTAGACGGACGGATTAAGAACCCACTTTTCCACCTTTAACCCCTCCTCTTTATAAAACAAGCTTTTTTCCTACATAATTTCGCCTTCCGATAATTTTTAGACTAAGCCCAACCTTCTGAAATTTCCAATTCACAATTTCTCCTAATTTTTCAGAAGTACCGACCCTCCAAAAATGCCTTATTAGATTTTATTAAATTTAAACATGCCTCTAAATAATTATTAAAAGTACTATATAGCCTTTAAAAATTCCCAAATTAATTAAAAGGCCTCTATTGAACTCCTAATTTAATTTTTTTTAAACTAAGATGTTGAACAAATAAAAATTGCTTAAAGTACTATTCTGGAAATTTCTAATGTTTTAGCAACTATACTGTTCGTCATGAAAAACCCAGAAAATCCGTCACTAAATCTCTTGATTTGAAGCTACAGGGAAGCTCATACGAAAACTCAATCTAAATTGAAGGGCACTGTGTTTCCTTACATCCAAGACGTGCCTAGACCCCCAATGAATTGATTTGAATGAGGTCTCCTTGAATCAACTCATCCAACTCGCTAGAAAGATCCTTATTCGCCTCCAATTTCAAGATTTAACAATCTAAAGTTACTAGTAGCGGTTAACCGATCGTAGAAATGACTAGGAATGACTAGAGGCGAATATCCTTACCTTCATATGACATATGAAAGATTAGAAGTCGAGAGGAACAACGAGTTGGAGAGATTTTCGTCGGTATTTCGGCTTGCCAGCGAATGAGAGGATAATCCGGCAGTTTCTTCCTCTCTTTTCCTTCTTCCACCTTCTTCCTTGCTCCTCTCCTCCCCTTCCTTCGTATTCTTCTCGTTCAAAGAGTTTTGGTGGCTTTGGGAGATGGAAATACATAAATGGAGAGAGAGAGAGAGAGAGAGAGAGCAGAAAATCTGGTATCTTATATATCAGGTCGAACACGTGCACAAGACACGGTCGTGTTCTCTCCCCGTGTTCTCTCCATCCATCGTGCCTCGTTCTGATCGTTCGTCGATGTTTTATGAAACACAAGTGACACGACCTTGCAACACGGGCGTGTCCAAGCCGTGTTACGCTACGTCTTCGATTTCCTCCGTAAGGATGCGTCCACCAAGCCCTCTGCTCTTTAAAACGAGCATTTAATTGGACACGGTCTAGGGACACGTACGTGTTCCCTGGCCGTGTTCAATCCTCTGTTGACTCATTTCTTGCTGCATCAAATCGACACACCTGCCCGAACACGGTCTAGCAACATGGCCGTGTATCAGCCTGTGTTCTGGTCTGGTTTTTCTTCTTCAATGCTTTCTTAAACCCAACCGTCTTCCAAAACTTTTGGTCGAACTTTAATCGAACCTAAACCCAAACTCAGGGTGTTACACTATGCACCATTTATACTAATTTGGGGGATGTATTGGTTGACTGTTAAGTTGGACGGTTAACACCATTGACTAAGTGTTAACCCAACAAGTCATTGCCATGTTATCGTAAAAAAATGCAATTTCAAATAAATTTCCATAAATTCAATTATTTACTTAATAAAAAAATAAAAGATGTGACCCTTATATTAAAATCAGGCATTGCCCTCACCCACCCCACAAAAACCCTATTCCATTCCCAAACCCTTCATCCTCGACGATCTTCCATCACCATATCTCTAATGACGATGCAGCGGTGGCCGATCGTTTAAAGTTGCGGCTGCCACCTTCCTCTCCCGTCACTTCGAACCCAGTTTCCTTACCTTTTCGTTCTTGCCTCGCGTTCCCTTTGCTTCTCTATCAGATCTCTTTTGCAACAATGTCGAGGCAAGTTGGAAAATTTTATGACCAAGGTTTAGCCTCTTCAGGTTCGTGAAACACAACTGAGATAAGATGTAAAGTCCACAAAGCTCCATGCATTGTCAATACATCTCATTGACTCATACAGACGCAACTAATGGTTGATGGTTGATGGGCACTTTAAGTGCGTCTTTGTTGGGCAGAAGAGAAAGAGTAGAAGAGGAAACAAGAGAATTTGGAGATGTATGAAGACTTGACGAAGGCTACAGAGATTAGTGCAACTAGTTTTCTTGAATTGCAAAGAATGAGAAATGCGATTAGTGCACTACAAAGCAAAACGACCATATGTGTAATTTTTCTAGTCATAGTTCTTCTTGTGTTGGTGCTTGTTTGTATGAAAGCGATGCTTAAAATTTCGACGATTGCTATGAACTTTTAAAGATTAAGCGAATCCATAATCATTGATAACACCCAATATGGTGTTATTTAGCCTCCATATTTAGGGTAATTTTGAGTCATTTCATGGTCTCATTGGTTGATATGTCATCAAGTGCATCCCTATTTCATTCCTCGAAAAGAATATTGTCATTTTAGGGTGTTTTGGATGATATGAACGTTTTAGGTGTGAAAAAGGGTCACAAGTGTAGAAAAGGGGAAAAATGAGAGATCACGACCAAAAGGGTGAAGATCACGGACGAGATGTAGGGGGCACGAAGTGTAGCATGAAGATTGAAGCCTCCAAGTCAAAGATTATCCACGATTTAGAGGGCAGCAGGCGTGAACTTCTGGAGAAGCCACCAAGGAAGGACAAGAGAGTTTCGACACGTAATCCAGATTGTGGCCATGACTCACAGATCGCGACCATGAAGTCAGACCACAATCTCCTAATCCAGACAAGACCAAAGTCGCTGAAGTCAAGATTACGGCCTCTCTCCATCAGATCATGGCCGTGATCTCCTGCTTCGTGCCCGTGAACTTGCCCGTGTCCTCAGAAATCTACAAATAAGGGAGGACTCCCCTTTATTAGATGGCTTTTGGTAGATTTATTGTTCTAGAGTGAGTTTAGAAAGAGAAGTGGAAGCTTGGAGAAGAAGAGGAGAAGAAGAAGTGAAGGAGAGCTTTGGAGGAGGATTTCCAACACTTGAAGACCTTTTATTCATGATTTCTTTCCCTCTTTGCATGTCTCTTCTTTCCCCCTTCATGGGGTAGTCACTCAAAGTATTTTGCGACTTTGTCCCCCAAACCCTAACTTAAGGTGTGATATGTAGTAGGATATTTTAGGCTTGAATTATGGATGATTTTGACTCTATCTATCTATGTCTAGTTTGGTGTTTGTTCATTCTTGCATAAATTAGTGCGGGATTGTCTATATCCCATTTGCCCTAGTTGCAACTTAGGTAATTAGGAAATTATCATCTAGTTTATTGTGGTTTATGGATGAATTGAGTTTGCTTAGCATTTTATGCTTCATCTATGATTAACTATGCATGGGTTTGTCTCTCCAACTCTTTTTATAGCAGACTACCACTTAAGATTGCATGATCTAGACTGGATTTGAGCGGCTTAGCTAATTAGGAGTAGATAATGATAAATCGGTGTGGTATTTGGTGTATCCCAAATGATGATACCAAACTTCTACCCCTAGCTACGGACATTATGTTGGACAACACAGACCTTGAGGGTTGGTCACTAACTTTCCAAGTAATGGTTAATTACTAATAAACTTAAATCACTACTCATTAGTTATGGGTAAAACTAATATGCACATGGACAACACTACTTGGAATAACTCTATGTCTTTTCATTCCTTACGGAGATTTACTATGCGGATATGCCTAGTAACTTTTGTTTATCCATGACATACAAATGCCAAAGTAACATTCACTACTGATAAATGAAAAGCGATACATACATGAACATCAACCTGAAAAGAGAAAATGAGAATAAGAAAATTGAAGATAAGCCAAATGAGTTGGTAAAAAAAAACATTAAAAGAGAAAAAGTAATAAAAAAAACAACTGGCACATGGTAGCAAAATATGAAGGAACATCATAGCAAAATATTAGAGAATAGTAACTTCAATTTAACTTTATATATATTAACATATAAATTGCTGCATTTTCTACCACTTCCTCTCTCTATCTCGTGATCCTTTCTTCCCCTTAGATGTTGATCGTAAGGTACCAACCATCTCATCGCTTATCCAAAATAGAGCGGCCAGCCATGTGATCTACCAAACCAAGTTTGGCAGCGGTTTATAATAAGTACGTAGTACACATTACGCGCGCACATGATCGATGATGAGTACATTTTGGACTGGCTATTCACGGGAGCAGATCATGTCACCAATCAGTAACCCCTTCTCCTGTCCCCATGTGTCAGCCATCCTTTTTATTTAAATTAAATGCAAAAGGGCAGAAAGGTAAACTTGTACTTATCCTTATTTATTGCTGACGCTGACTTTTGACCAGACCACATCAGCGCCTCCTTCTCTCTCCTCGAAAAACCTTTAATTTTCTTTCCCTTAATCTTTAACGGACGATTTCTCACTCGTTTTAAGTCAGAATTTAATTTTTTTACACGGTTAGATCAGATTAATTGTGCTCTTCAAAATGATATCCACTTTGATATTTTTTGGACATAAAAAAAATTGTCAGTTATTACCAGTCAATACCATATGGTATTGACTGACTGGTATTAAATAAGACCATACCATATGGTATGAAAAATTTGTCACATCAATATATGTTTCGTTACCACCCAATACCATATGGTATAGTGTGGTAATATCGATATATATTTGGTAATACCACCCAATACCATATGGTATAGTGTGGTAATATCAATATATATTTCGTTACCACACAATACCATATGGTATAGTGTGGTAATATCACACAATACCATACAATACCATATGGTATAGTGTGGTAATATAAATATATATTTCGTTACCACACAATACCATACATTACCATATGGTATAGTGTGGTAATATCAATATATATTTCGTTACCACCCAATACCATATGGTATAGTGTGGTAATATCAATATATATCTCGTTACCACACAATACCATATGGTATAGTGTGATAATATCACACAATACCATATGATATAGTGCGGTAATATCAATATATATTTCGTTACCACACAATACCATATGGTATACTGCGGTAATATCAATATATATTTCGTTACCACACAATACCGTATAGTATAGCATGTTAATATCAATATATATTACCTAAAAGAAAAAACAGAAGGATGGAGAGGAAAAAAACTCGTCTTCTATTTCGTCTCATTTCCTCCGCAATCAAGAACACCAAACGCCAAAAAAGGGAGAAAGACCTAAATTGAGGCCAACGAGTTGATGAAGAGACAAAAAAACGCAATGAAAGAGGGTGGCTGCAATTTTTCTTCGTCGATTGTTGGAGAAAAAAATAACAAAAAAGAAGAGAAGGAAGCAGATCTAGATATGGAGAAAGAGATTGAAAAGAGAGAAAAAAGGAACAGAGAAAGAGAAATAATCTGAAAAGAAGATTGAGAGAGAAAAAGGAAGAGAGAAGGAAGGGAGAAAGAAAAAAGAGAGTTGCAGAGAAATGATTCTCTCTCCTCCTTTTAAAAGGCAGCCATTAAAAGTGGCTCCTTTTTTGAAAAAGCGGACATTAAAATCGGAATATAATAAAAATAAAAATTTATAAACGGACGAAAATGCTCTTTTGGCCTCCGCATTCAGCCCAGCCGCATGATTGATCCGCCCCCTAGATCTACGGTGTGCGTGCATTTACTGATAGGTCAGTAACCATTGGTTACTGACTCTATCCCAGACCGCTATTCACGGCGGAGTACTATTATCATTTCAAAGAAAGAAAACTAGCCGTAGAAATATGAAACTTTCATAGTGAATTATGAGCTTACATATCATTTATTTATACTATATATTATGGCAATTCAAAAATAATTTATTGCCACATAAGCACTTGGAGAATTCATAATTTGTCAAGTTGGACAACTTTTTAACAAACAAAAAAATTAGCTATTAATGTATTTATGGAGCTACCTCTCTCTTATTTAATATTTCAATTTCTTTTATCCAATTATTATTTTTCATTTATCCTTTTTTTACTTTAATAATAAGTTAGATGTTGATAAACTTAATAAAACACACATAAATAATAATTGTGTTTGTCAAGTATACAAAATATAAATAAGAAAACAGAGAGTGACATATATCACATTTTTTCAAATAAAAAAATCTAATTAAACCTTATGAAGGAAATTTTCTACTCATTTTTACTAAAATTGAATGATAAGTTACATTTTGATAAGAAGATTAAACAAGCATACACATAAACAATGATAATTTTGTCGATTAAACAAAATATATATGAAAAGAGAGAAAATAAACATTTGACATTCAATTACCTTTCGAAAATAAAGTATATTACCTTATACTTTGTTGCAATGAAACACTCTCTTATTCGTAAAGTATATGTCTATAAAATAAAAAAAATATTATTTAGCAAAATGTTAGAGTATAATCTTGATCGAGTAGTTACAATTATTTATTTAAAAAAGACTTCTTATTCATGAGACAAATCATGAGGGAGGGGAAAGATTGCTATTCGCTACACACAATAATACAAAGGAAGTACTATAAACTAGCTTTTTACTCGGCCCATTGGCCGGTAGATTTATTTGGGTAAATACAATATATTAGCCACAACTATTATGAAGCGGGGAATTATAGCCACAACTATTGAAATTCAAATTATTAGCCAAACGTTAACTATCTGTTAACAATTTCGTTAGTAATACTGACTAAACTTTTATGTTTTGAAGTTATAAACTAAAAGCGCCGCTGTCGTGGCCGATGACGTGGCCTTCTCCGTCAAAAATTCAATAACAGTAACAGACAGTTAGCCATATCTTGACCTGCAACAATAGTTATGTCTAATAATTTGAATTTTCATAGTTGTGGCTATAATTTCCCGTTTCATAATAGTTGTGGCTAATATATTGTATTAACCCGATTTATTTTATAACTTATATTAATTAAATTCTTTATATGTTTAAATCATTTTGGATTTTCTAAATATTTTGTGGTCTGAATTCAAAACAGAGTTTTAAATCATGCTTAGTAGACGATGTCGGAATACTACTTTGAGTTAAACTACCTAGACATAACATGAAAAACAAGAGCCAAACCCTTCGAGCTCTATCCCTTCCTCATAAATTATTTTGAGTTACGCATTAAATAACAATTAAAATGATAATTTTGGAACATTAATCTTGAAAATTATCATTTTAAATGTTATATGTCTTTGTGTTATTAATGATTTACCTTATTAATATTATTATATGTTAATTTCTATGTGGTACTTAAAATCCTACGATTCTACGATTCGATTTTACGATTCCGATTTTACCCCAGTTTTCAATTTTAGGTAAAATCCCGATTTTGACTGCTTTTGGTGTGGTGAATACAGGGTGGCTCCTGATTTCCAGTGTTTAAAAGATACGATTCAGAAGCAATTATCGACTGAAAGTATGGAAATGCTTTGCAAAACTGTTACTGCAGATGAAATCTGAGAAACAGTCTTCCAAATGAATATTCACAAAGCCCCAGGCCCTGATGGATTTTCCTCAGGGTTGTTCAGGAAGACGTGGCACATAGTAGGAGAGGATGTTACAAAAGGGGTCCTGAACTTTTTTGAGGAGAAGAGATTATATTAGTGGGGTCAATGCCACTTCAATTGCGCTCATCCCTAAGGTACTAAATGCTGAAACTTAGGAATTCCGCCCCATTTCTTGTGTTAATGTTCTATACAAGATAGTTGCAAAAATTATGGCAAAGAGGTTGAGTGAAGTTTTGCCTAGTGTTATTAGCTTGAATCAAATAACATTTATCAAAGGTCGACAGATTGTAGATAATATCATGCTTGCTCAAGAATTAGTAAGTGGATATCATAGAAAGCAGTTGTCCTCGCGATGTGCAATAAAAATTGATATCATGAAAGCTTTTGACTCGATAAACTGGGATTATCTTTCATGATTATGAGGTTAATGGACTTCTCTGATCGTTATATGGATTGGATCCAACTCTATACATCTACATCTACAGCTAGATATAGTATATGTGTGAATGGGGGTATGAAGGGTTTCTTTAGTGCAAAGAAAGGAGTGAGGCAGGGTGATCCTCTCTCACTTTACCTCTTTGCCATTGCTATGGAAGGGTTGACTGGATTGTTGAACAGAGCTTCTAGTCAAGGGCTGATTCCTTTTCACCCTATGTGCAGTAGAGTCTCATTGGATCACCTTTGCTTTACTGATGATCTACTGATCTTCACAGTAGGTTCAACTAGGGCAATCATGGTTGTGAAGCAGGTTTTATACCAATTTTATTGGCAATCTGGGTTAAAATGTAACCCTAGCAAGTGCTCTATTTTTTTTTTTGGTGAATCAGTAAAGTTTAAGCAGAATGCTATTGATCTTTCTGGGTTTGCAGAGGGCTCTCTTCCTGTGAGGTATCTAGGCTTACCTCTTATCTCAGGTAAGCTTAGTGACATATAATGTGAAGTCTTAACAGTGGCAATAACAAAAAGAATTAGATCATGGCGTCCAAAAAAGCTATCTTATGCGGGGAGGCTACAGTTGATTACCTCTATTATTACAGGTCTTGTTCAGTATTGGCTGCAAGTGTTTGTTTTACCAAAGAAAGTTCTCAAGCTTGTCCAAAAGCTTTGTATGGATTTCCTTTGGCATGGTGATGATACTGGCAGGGCTAAGTTTCTTGGGACCATTTAGCTCTTCCTAAAACTGAAGGGGGGCTTGGTATCCGTGAACTTAGCTCCTAGAATTCTGCTTGCTCGCTTCGTATGCTTATGGCTTTTACTGATGCTGTCAGGAGCTCTCTGGGTGGCATGGATGCTTAAATACCGCTGTAAAACTAGGGATGTCTGGACTATGAAAGAGAATGCGAATAGCTCTTGGGCTTGGAGACGGATACTAAAGAAAAGATCCCTAGTGCAAACTCTCCTTTGCAGGCAGGGAGATTGTGCTGTGTGGAACGGGCAACCAATGCACAAGTATTCGGTCAAGCTCATTTGGAACACGCTGCGTCCTCAGTACAACAAGGTTGATTGGTTTAAATTCGTTCTGGGGCAATTCAGTGTTCCCAGGTTCAGTTTTATTGCCTGGCTTATCATTATGGACGCGATTACTACAAAGAGCAAACTTATGAGATGGAGGAAACTTAATGAAGATTGTTGTGTACTCTGTCATAACTCTAGTGAAACGCGTGATCATCTGCTCTTCACCTGCGAGTTTGTCAAACAAACAGTGGTTGGTTTCCTTCGAGTTGAGCATGTATGTCGATCTACTTGGGTGGAATCGCTAGGATCTGCTTGCCAAGCTGTTGTGTGTGGCCAAGGAAGCTTCTTTGGCGTAAAGTGGTGTATGCTGCTTAGATATGTTTGGCAGGAGCGCTGTCGTCGAATCCATCAGGAACTTAATGAGAGGTGATCTACGAATGCTGAAAATTTTGTAGCCCATTTGTAGTTAATAACAGTAGAGGGAGTGGTTAGATGTAGGTATCTCTTTTGTTTTCCCCTTCAGGGTGGGCATAATGGAAGCCCTTTCGTTGTAATGCTGAAAATTCGTTTTTACTTAATAGTAAAAGGCAAGTGATTCAACGGAAAAAAAAACATCGAGAGAATTTATCTACACAGATCTATGCAAGAATCACCCTCGTATCATAGCTAGTGCTGAAAATGGTGCAGTTTGGTTTACGTTTTACAATCTAGATCGCAGGATTGGAGCACAAACCAGAGACTCTATCAAATAGTATGATGTTGAGTAAAAAATGAACAATTTATTTGATCCATCACACATCAAGCTGAAACAATAACTAAGAAAAAACTACATTTTGCCTTAAAATCTAAATTCAAACACGCATGTATAATTTTGATAGCATAAATACAAGTGAATGGCAAAGAAACAAAGTCAGAACAACCTCACTTCCATCAACATATCCTAAAAGATTAACATAATTTGATATGGAGATGCTATCATCTCTACTCTTTGGCGGATTTTGATTAATGAATGAAAAAAGGGGAAGAGATTTGCAAAATTAAGGCCGAGATTTAGGTGACATAAGGGGTTGGATAGTGTTGAAGTGGCCTGCTAGCACGAATCGGGAAGTGAGTTGGGTTTGCAGTCGGGTCGAATGTACCGTAGTCTGGACTAGACCATACCAAGAGAACAAAACATTCCACAATACAAACCACAAACCAAACCAAAGTATTCTTAAAGTCTAAAGTGTGGGATAAACTATGTGATATAATTTGATTCATTGTTTTCTAACTAACTCATTTCCTACTGGCACTACTATCCCAACTGTGACCAAGTGCAACTACAAACGGGTGTAGTATAGTGGAAGTGAAGTTTAATTATCAACCTGGACGACAAATGTACTATTACTTTGCGGCCTAGCTTGTTATCTAGTTAATTCAAAATTGAT